TCCATAGCATCTATATTATATTAGACTGCTATCTCCCGTATTTCTAGAGATAATTTTGGACTTTGAAAATTATATATTACATGGGTAGGGTTCCACTTAACGCTCCTAACGGCCATGACATCATTCTATCCTTGTTTAACATCAATTGAGAAACAAAGATAGAATGATAACGCGATTATTGAGAGCGTTAAATGAAACGTTAAGTAAACGTCTGCGCATGCGTAACGCAAGTGGTATAAAAAGATGTACATAATATGGCCGATGGATAATTATGAAGTTTAACACCACCACCTCCGATTTTGACGAAACTAGGCTCAATCAACACGTTTTTTTTTTAAAAGAAACAACTTTTTCCTCTAACAAAATCGTCGCTCTCTACTACGAAGCGAGATATTAATAGACAAATCTGAGCGCGTGTTAGGTTAGAAAATCTGTCATACCATCTATCTCTAACTATGAGACTGGAGGGCTTTGCCCCGCATCGCGGCGGGATGGGAGTCGCAGTCTCACGTGGTTAAGCTAAAGAGTGAATTTCTCACAAAAGACTGTAGCTCCCACCCCGCCGCGGTGCGGGAGGTCTGGGGGGCGAAGCCCCCCAGTCACATAGCTAGAAAAATTAAAGAAGCTTTAAACCCATGCAAAAGAAATAATACACTCAATAGAAACACAATTTTTTTTTGGTAATTATACAGAATAACGGACCACTCTCCGTTTACCTTGACCTTGACATTTGTTGTAGAGGTCACCCTTCTGAATAACTCTCAGAAGGTTTTAGCCGTCGCTCGTTATTTGTTAAAAAGTTATTGATGAAAGAAGTTCGAAAAATATATTACAATTTTTCGACACTGTGTACCGTTAACGAGCAATATTGAATAATTACAATATCGAACGACTAGCGGGGGGCTGCACCCCCCTCAAAACTAACCTAACCCAACCTATTGTCACATTAACACAAAAGTTGAACACTTTAATAAACAATAACTGATAGGTTGGGTTAGGTTAGTTTTTATAGGGGGTGTGGGGGCAGCCCCCCGCTAGTCGTTCGAGATTGCAGTACTTACTAACGAAAGACTGTCGTATCATTTTCGGAGTGACAGACTTCTTAACCTAGTGAGCTCTTAACTTTAACGCTAAATATCTCGCTTCGCGGAAGAGAGCGACGATTTTGTTAGAGGAAAAAGTTGTTTCTTTTTAAAAAAAACGCGTCGATTGAGCCTAGTTTCGTCAAAATCGGAGGTGGTGGTGCTAAACTTCATAATTACCGGCCGATGTCTACACATACGTTTTATTATATTACACTAATATATAAAAGTGTTTGTATATATCAATAATGCCGGTGCCCTGTTGTATTAATAGTTGTAAAAATATCTGGAAAAAGAATAGTGAAATAAAATTTCATAGGTAAGTATAATCGATTAATTTGTCTGACATGCAGCAAAAGCTTTACAATTCGAAATGTCGAATTTATAAACTGTCTTGTTTGATTTATGTAACTATATATATGTACAGTTTATTGCTTATAATAATTTGCATGGCTTGTAAAAGTTACAAAAATATATTGCATATCCCAGAACAGATGGGCAATCGGTAACAAATGTATAGAATAGGTGAAATAACCTCACTTTACAAATTTATATAAAATTTGCTTATATAATTTTTCCTTACTGAGATTTTGATTTTAATCTGAACTATACACCTATAAAGCGTGGTCTACAACAAGCAATAGTAGATTGAAACTATAAAATATTGGAGAAAACTGGTTTTCCAATGTAATAGGGTGCATAGTAAGTCCATAAGCAAAATGGTTGAATTCCATTTTCTATGGTTTATGCTTACAGACTTACTCTGTGTCCTATTATACCAGAAAATCAACTTCTATTATCTTACAGCCTTAACCCACTACTACTATTATAGATTATGTTTAATAGATTTGAGACATCTAGACACTTTAATACATAAGACATCTTTTAAATTGATTATTTAGATTTCCATTTCAAAACAAGTGTAAGTCAAATTTTTTATTTATTTAAATAGTGTATATTATATTCAAAAACAAGTTATAAATATCAAAGACATTAATAATAAGGTATAATTAAGGTATAATTAAATAAATTTGAAATGTAATTCATAATATATCTTATATATTGCATTGAAAATAAAGTATATAGCAATAGTTAAAATAATAAAATATTTATTGTAGTTAATCAAAACAATGGCATTATTGATGAAAAACAAAAGAAATTAATATTACCTCATGAAGGAGAAGATCAATCATCATCACTTGATACAGAACAAAATCTTCTGATATTATTTAAAGAAAAACAAGATTTGCTGACATCTAATAAAGGACATCATTATTTGACATCTTCTAATGAAGAAGACAATCAATTTACATTACCAAATAAAGAACAAGTGGTAAATGAATATAATAATAATGGGATAACTGTGGCGATATCAAAATGTATGTATAAATACTCTTCAGAAAAAGCTATTATTTATACCAATTATTTGTTTATTATTTAAGAATTGAAAATATGTTACAGGTTCAAAATGTGCAAATTATAATCAAACATTAATGGAAATTGAAAAACTGAAAAAGATAATAGAGGATTTCAAAAACATAGAAGAAAAGCGACTTAATCAGCAAGCAAACATGTTGCATACCATTATAAATAATAAAGAAGTTATATGGAAGAAAAAATTGAATATAGTTACATATAAAAATAAAATCTTAAACAAAAGTATACAGCGAAAAAAAAGAGAATTATAAATTTGAAAACAGTACTTAAAATATTACAGAAGAAAAATATATTGGACAATGATGCTACCTTTAAATTAGAAAAGGAATTTAGGAATTTATTAGTCCCTCTATTATAGGATGAAAGAAACAAATAAAAATAAGTTTTCTCATGGTCGACGTTATTCCGAGGAGGTAAAACAGTTCGGTGTTACTATGCATTACTATTCCCCTAAAACATGTGAGTATTGCGGGTTAGTATGCACTTGGTATATTTTATGCTATTCTTTCTCATTTGGGTATTAATAATGAATCTTATTTTCTAGTATAAACTCATAAAAAAGTGAACTGGTATGTTTACATAAAAATTATTTTTTCTAAAAAAATATTTGCTTCAATGGCTTATTTACGCAAAACATTTTATCTATATATTTTTGCATTTTCTTTTGTGTGAATAATTGTAATATACACTCTTTCTGCTGTTATAAATTAAAGTATGTGTGTGTGTGCACCTCTGTTGTTATATATAATATTCTGTGTTATGTGCGCTACTATTCTTTTATAACTAATATGTTGCTTGCTTATTTACTTACGTATTCAACAATACATTATTTTCCAATGTATAGTATAAAAATAATTCCATAATATTTATGACTAAAACAAACTATAAAGAAGTAATAGATTGCATGTACTAGGATGTTTACATTTTTTATCTAATGTTTGTAATTGCTCATTAATGACTCTATTTTGACAGGACAATATTTAAATTACCTCACTCATCATATATAAGAAATTGGACTTCTGCAGTGGATGCTCAACCTGGTTTTCAGTCACAAATCTTAAGCGCTTTAAAAGAACTCAAAGATGAAGACAAAGATTGCTGTTTAATATTTGATGCCATGGCTATACGTCAACAATTATTGTGGAGTAAGCAAGAATATTTTTAAGATTTGTATGGAAGCTGAAAAACAGTTAGATTTTGTAACAGATGGTTACACAGACTTATGTATAACATTTCTAAATTTAAAAGTTATAACTACAATTAAAAATAAATTTGCTCTCGATCCGTCAGTGTTCCCAAATTTACAATGTCATAATGTCAGTGTTGGATATATCACATAAAATTCGGCTTATTACTGTAATTACTTCTAAATATATTAAAATAAGACTTCACGTGTATTCTAAATTTTATTTACAAGAAATATTAAAACCCATATGAAAAAGACACGTTGACGAAACAAATTTTATTCTACAGAGAATAATGTATTCTTGTTGTATAATGTTATTCAATAAAAATGTTATTTCCTGATAAACTACTTGTTTTATTTTTCTCCTAGACAACACAAATGTCCAAAATTGAATCATAAGACAGCTTTAGAACGTCTTTAAAACATTTTTAAAACAATACCTTATAAATTTATCTTAAAGATGTCTTATTATTCGATTTTGGACATTGTGCTGTTTGAGCTGTTATTAAATCTTATTTCTATTACTTGATATTATGTACATATAAAATAAAAAAATATATGTTGCTGTACTCTGCTTATAGAAAAGTATCACTGGCTGTAATAAATGGACCAGTGATAAATTATTGTTGCTCAGTAATATTAATACTTGATGAGTAATAAAAATATTGAGGAACAATAATTTATCACTGCTTAATTTATAGCCAGTAATACTTTCCTATAAAGATAGTATCTAAGCTAAAAGTTCCTTCAAAATTGCGTTATTACTTTTTAATCGCATAAATATTGTTAAATATATAATTTTATGGACTTTAATGTTTATTTTCTGATTTATATTTATTGCTTCCTCTCTGCTGGTATTTTTTAAATAGATATAAGTATATGCATTTATTTATAATAAACACGATTTAATATATGTTTGTATTCTGAATTTTCACACGTAATATTTTATTTTTAACACATCTGTGTAACATTTTTTAAAAATAAATAAAAAATATGTTGTTAACATTTCTTACTGAACTTTATGGTTATGTGTACAATAAATTGTACGTATGTATGGTATGTATATATTACTTTCACTTCACCAATCAGACGTCACTAATTTACCACTTGTATGACGCATGCGCACGAGTTCAGTACATAGCTCTTGGAACCATTTATTTTATCCAAGTCAGCAGTCTAGTGTAAAGGGACGTCTACATTGGAAGTAAGCAGTAAGAAGTAGGAAGTAAGAATAAGGAATTGACCAATCATAGTTGATTATTCTTCTCACATTCGACTGTGGTTGGTCAATTTCTTACTCTTACTTCCTACTTCTTGCTATTTACTTCCAATGTAGACATCCCTTAATATAGATGTCTGTCATGGATGTAGGAATATAAGGATAGAGCATAAGCTGAATTTATGGGCAAGGGTGGTGAAGCCGATTTGAGGGACGAGATATCTCTAAAACTGTGCCTAAATTTGATTGGTTGAGTTGTACTCATGCGCAGTACCGCAAATTATAAACGAAGTATTGAAAACATGAACATATAATTCAGAATAATACGTAAAAAATTAATAACATAGTGGGTAGGAGACGATTCTATGCAAAAATAAGTAAAAAAAAGAATATTTTTTTATTGCAACTTCGTTTTCGAGAAAATCGAGGTTAAAGATTTGTCGAGTAAAGAAGATCATACTCTTGGCAATGCATTCGGCTTAATTGTACATATAGAGCTACTGTTAGTAAATGACTCTTCGTTAAAGTGCAGGGAGCAAACGCGAGATGAATTCGATATTGATTTAATATGAAATCAAGCCAACATTTATGAAGTATATTATCTTTTGGAATACTGTCCCAGTAAGCAAATTGAGCGCAGACTGCTCGTAGATTGGCAGCAAATTTGATCAAAAACCCAAAGCAAAATCATAGCCATTTGTGTCTACATTAGACTACGGTTTTGGCGACAGATCTTGCTATCGGGCAATTGGTGCCAAATTTGTAGCAAAAGCCGCGCAAAGCTTGCAGCGTAGCAAGGTCTGCGTAGTTTCTGCCACCAATCTGCCGTCAAATCGCTACAAACTCTGCGCGGTTTTTGCTGCAAATCTGCAGCAATTATCTAATAACAAGCTCTGCCGCATATCCGGCGGCAATTTGGTAGCAAGATTTGATATTACAGATTCTGAATAAAATTTGTTATCTATTTGTCATCAAAAGTTGATAGCAAGCTCTGCTCGAAATCTGTTCGTGCAGATTTGGCTATCTGGGGTGAAGAATATTTAAAAACAGTTTTTCATTAACAGTTCATAATAATTAAAAGGTTATCTTAACCTGAAATGTGATGAAATGTGATTTTTTTCACTTTGCATGTGTTTTTTCCAATTTTGGCAATCCGATCTGCTTTTACAAAAAGGAACACAACACTGCACCATTACTCCAACGATTTATTAACAATAAACAATAAAACAATATTTACTAACCTCCACACACGTGCTCAGACGTTAGTGGACGCTAATATATGGTTTGTTTTTTTCAACTGCACTGCTACACTGGTACAATAAGTTAAAGTGAAATAAAATATATTTGTCTCATTCTAACTTATTGTACCGGTACAACAGTATAACTAGAAAGAACAGTCCTATGGATGCGAAGACGGTACTATTACGCTTGCGCATAGTAAAAACTAATGAAAACCAGACACAGTTTTACCTCGTCCTTCTCTCTCTGTGGCTTCACCACTCCGGGATTACACTCCATTCTTATATTCCTCCGTCCATAATGTCTGTGAGTTCCTCACGCCACCTTAGAGCTAGCGCACGAACATTGCCGTAGTTCCTTATGCCATCTTACATGATAACCTTACGTTACATGAGACGAAGCTGAACTTACGGCAACGCACGAAAACGTTACGTTACATTACGAAAGAATATATATATATATATATATATACAGTATGTTTGATAAGAGCGTGTACGGCAAAACTTTTTCCTCGAAACCGTTAGAGGGGGGATATGAACGCGAGCCAATAGCGGGGCTCTTCTCCCAAGATGCTTTGTCTAGAAAGCCTTAGTTATCGTTTGACTTTCGTCACAAAAGGGCGTATTTCAACATGAGTGCCGCGTACGCATCACGTTACGAAGCTGTGTTTCTATGTTCGCATCCGAAAGGACCAAAAATGTCGCGCGGAGCGGCTGCTAAGTATATGAAGAAGTCTAAGGCGTTTGTGAGTAAGTGGGTGAAACGTTATTCCGAGGTCAAAAACGTTGATGACTTGCCGGATCGTGGCTCTGTGCAGAAAACGACGAAAAAGGAGGACAAAATGATTTTACGGGTGTTTGAGAAGAATCCTTGTTTATCATTGCGTGGCGGGCAAGCGGTTTTACTTAAAAAGGGTCTAAATATATCATGTCATACTATAAGAAGACGTTTACTGGCTCATAAAGTGAAATTTCGAAGCACGATAACGAAACCGTTGCTGTCTGAAAAACATATCGAAAAAAGACTTGCTTGAGCAAAAGAAAATTTGGACCGCTATTGGGGCAA